ATTAGCCAGGCATGGTGGCACATCCCTGTGGTTCTAGCTACTTGGAAGGCTGAGGCGGAAGGATTGCCTGAGCCCAGCAGCTTGAGGCTGCCAGTGGCCGTGAGTGTGCCACTGCACTCTGGCCTGGGTGACAGAGTGAGACTCCGACTCAAAAACAAAACAAAACAAAACAAAAAACCCCAAACAAACAAAAAGACTAGATTCCTGAGTTCCAACTCATGCTGAGTGAGTTGGCGTCAAAATAATTTTGAGAAATGCACAAATCTTATGCAGGTGCCTCTTGAAATGAAATGTATAGAATTGAATTGGAATGTTTTGACATCTCACAAACCCCAGAAGAGTTACCACCTCTGGATCTGCCCTTCTCCCCATTGGGGTCTGTGTGCTTCTGCATCTGCCAGGGAAATCCCAGCCTCTGAGGCCTGAACACAGAGACATTAGAGAATAGCTTTCAGACAGCAATCAATGTTTTGTGGACTGGCTGGGTGATTCTCTCCTTGTCAACCTCATTTTCTAGCTATTCAAAAAGTGAGCTGCTTTATGACAGGGGTCATGCAATTGGAGAAAGTCCTAGCATCCCTGGGACCTTTCCAGGCCAAGAAATATCCTTCAGCTATGAGCCTTTTCTCCTCTAGGGTAGCTCTCAGGATGTTGCCTGATGAGGTAAGAAGCTTGCTCAGAAGTTGGTGCCTTGAACAAATGATTGAAGAAAAAGAGAGCCGCGTGAATCTGTCTCTCTCTCTTTTTTTTTCTTCAGCAATTTATTTGTTTATTTGTCTTTTGAGTCGGAGTCACACTCTGTTGCTCAGGCTGGGGTGCAGTGTCACACTCACGGCCACTGCAGCCTTGACCTGCTGGGCTCAGGTGATCCCTCTGCCTCAGCCTTCTAAGTAGTTGGAACTATAGGCGTCACAACCACATCTGGCTAATATTTTTGATTTCTTGTACAGATGAGGTCTCACCAAGTTACCTAGGCTGGTCTCAAACCCCTGGACTCAGGCAATCCTCTTGCCTCTGTCTCCCAAAGTGCTGGGATTACAGGCATGAGACACCATGCCTGGTGCAGCAGACAATTTGTTAAGAAACTGTGAGCTGGGCATGGTGGCTCACAGCTGTAATCCCAGCACTTTGGGAGACCGAGGCAGGAAGAGTGCTTGAGACCAGTAGTTCAAGACCAGTCTGGGCAACACAGTGAGACCCCGTTTCTACAAAAATTTTCTTTCTTTTT